ACCCGATCAAGGTCGCTGGCGTGCGCGAATGGCCCCGACCTCGTAACCTGCGAGAGGTTCAAAGCTTCCTGGGGTTCCTCAACTTCTACCGACGATTCATCAAAGACTTCGGCGCGTACGCCAAGCCACTGACCCGGCTAACCCGAAAAGACAGCCCATGGAAATGGGGACCGGAAGAAGAGGAGGCCTTTCAGACCTTGATAGACCGGGTCACTGATGAACCAGTACTACATTTCCCTACGGATCACGGGGCGTGGCGGGTCGAAGCGGACTCTTCCGATTTCGCCACCGGGGCCGTCCTTTCGCAAGAGCAGGAGGGGAAGTGGGTCCCGATCGCATTTCTCTCCCGGGCCATGAACGACACCGAGCGCAACTACGACATCCACGACAAAGAGATGCTCGCTATCATGCGGGCCCTTACCGAGTGGCGACATTATCTTCAGAACGGGGGAGATAAGCCATTCGAAATCTGGACTGACCACAAGAATCTGGAGTACTTCATGACGGCTAAGAAACTGAACCGGCGGCAGGCACGATGGTCTCTCGAACTGAGCGAGTATCACTTCTCCTTGTTACATAAACCGGGGAAAACGAACGGGCGGGCCGACGCGTTATCCCGACGAAACGGGTACGACAACGGAAAGGAAGATAACCAGGACATCGTCCTACTCCCGGCGGGGCTATTCAAGGAACACGCGATCCGCGCTATGCTGACACTAGAGCATACGGAGGGCGACGGGCTGATGGACTCGATCCGGCGGGCCGAATCGGCCACCGAGGAAAAGGTCCTCAAACTCTGGGAAGACGGAGAACCGGAAGGCTGGGAACAGCATGACGGCTTCAAGACTCGGAACGGACTGGTATACGTACCCCCGGCTATGGGACTGAGGCATCGGGTGCTACGGCAACACCATGACATCCCTATCGTGGGACACCCGGGGTGGCATCGAACCCTCGAGCTGACGACCCGCAACTACTGGTGGCCGTCTATTCAAGCCGATTGCCAGGCATACGTACGGGCCTGCCCGTTGTGCCAACGAACGAAGATATTCCCGAGACGCCCCGTAGGAACCCTGGTCCCGAATAGCGTGCCGACTCGAGTCTGGCAGCGCATATCAATCGATCTGATCGTTCAACTACCCGAATCCTCCGGGTACAACGCCATTCTCGTAATCGTCGATCGACTGGGTAAAGGGATACGCGTACTCCCATGCACGGGAAACATCTCCGGGGAAGGAGTCGCTCGACTATACCGCGATCACGTCTGGAAAGATTACGGATTCCCAGAGGAAGTAACTAGCGACCGGGGTCAGCAGTTCATCGGGCATTTCATGAGCGACTTGAGCAAATTGCTGGGAATCAAGATTCGATCTTCATCGGCGTATCACCCACAGACGGACGGGCAAACAGAGCGTGCGAATATGGAGGTCGAGCAATACCTTCGAACATTCTGCAACTTCCAGCAGAGCGACTGGTCCGACTGGCTTTCCCTAGCAGAATTCGCGTTTAATGACAAGGTTAACTCTTCAACGGGATTCTCGCCCTTCTTCCTCACGCTGGGATTCCACCCGAGAAAGGGGTCCGAGGCCCCGCAAGAGGTCCCGACCGAGGCCGCTACGGTGTTTGCCGAACAGCCCGGGCCGATGCGGCCGAAGCTATGAAAGAAGCCCAGGAAACGATGAAGAAATACTACGACCGAAAGCACTCTCCGGACCCGAATTACGCCGAAGGGGACAAAGTTTACCTCCAGGGGACGAATTTGACCAGCGATCGACCCTCAAAAAAACTAGACGACAAGAGGTTCGGGCCGTTCGAAGTTAAGCGCAAAGTGGGTAAAACATCCTATGAACTGGTGCTACCCCCAACTTGGCGCGTAAGCCCCGTATTCCACACGGCGCTATTACGACCCTGGAACCCCCCCGTAGCGGATCATCAACGGGCCGCCCCACCACCCCCGGCAGAAATGCGGGACGGCGAGCCTCACTACGAAGTCGAGGCCATTTCGGCTCGTACGCAAGCAAGGACGACACCGCCTAAGGTACCTAATTCAATGGAAAGGTTACCCTCGGGAAGAGTGGACGTGGGAATTGCGGGACAAACTGGAAGGCGCAGAAGAGGCACTCGAGGACTTCTATACTCTCAACCCGTTCGCGCCCCGCGCACCTGTAGTTGTGCACATTTGACAACTGCACTGAGTGCACTGAGTCAACCTGGTGTCAAATCCACTAGCTCCACTAAGGCCTGAGTGCAGTTAGTGCATTTGTCTTTTGTTCCCCTATAAGACTGATCAAACTTTGATATAACATCAGTATTAATAATGATTATACTTAATAAATGAATGTTAAGTTCCTTTTCTTCAGGCCGAAGACCCGTTATATAATTTGGAAGACTATATATATAGAAAATAATTGATAATCCCAATTTGGACAGAAATGATGTAGCTGGTTACAATCATCAAAACTTTTGATGACAATCAAAAATGTTTCCACATTGATGACATTATCTAGATGCCATCAATTCCATCATCAATTACCATAATAGTAGTCTTAAATAAATAAAATAAGTCTTTGAAGGAATGTGACATATGTGACAAAAAGCCCTGCTCAGTGTATTTGACAACCGTTATGCTAGCTGTAGCTAGTTGCATTTGTAAAAATATAACGCCTATGGCTCCCCCGCGAAGAACTCGTAAACGGCCGATGGAAAATCCGAAAGCAAGACCAGGGGACGCGGACCCATAGGGCGTCGAGGCGCCGCCCACAACGGAGGGGGTGATGTCACGGTTCGGGTCGGGCCGTCCGGGCCGTAAGGCCGCACGGGCCCGAACGGGCCCGCACGGGCCCGTATACCGTCGTCCTCCTGGATGCCCCCTCATTCTTCCAACCCCTTCCGTTCACCCCTACGACCCTACGCAGCGCCCATCCGATCCGCCCTGGGACCTGGCGCCCATCCGATCCATCCCTAATACCGTAGCGTATAAAAGTCGTACTTACAAGATGTAGTCGCTAGGCTAATATCGTCTATTCTCCGGGCGAATACCCATCTCTCGTGCTCCTCAGACCCTTTCGACGTCGGACCCCCCGACGCCCCGATACGGCCCGAGCCCGACGCTGACACCCGATTCCGGTCCGACTCCGGTTCTGACTCCGGTCCGGCCCTCCATCTCGCCCGCACAATCACCGATCCGTCAACGCCCTCCTGACGGTCGCCCTGGGACCTCACCTGCGACGCCGCCCAAGCCTTCTGTGCCTGACAGCGGCAGCTACGGACAAGCAGTATATAGTCAGCTCCCTAGCAGGCGGACCCTTAGAGTTTCTTCTCTTTGGATCCCCTGCTAGGTCAGCTTCATTTGTATTCGCTTACCAATGTTCACGCTTTGGATCCTCCCCTGCTAGGACCTTGATCTCAGGCCTCCGGGGTTGCCCTTACAGTATATACATACATACATATATACACATACACATACATAAATCTTTTTGAAAAAAAAGTTTTGCACAGATTAAATTTTTATGCTAATTTTTGATCACATCAGTGGTCGCATGATATGAATCCTGGGAACATATTACCCTATATGGCAGGAGGGGAGGGTCGGAAAAAAAAACTTTCCAATCCTATAACCGTGATTCGGATGTTGAACCCCCCTTGCCACCAATTGTCCTGTAGCTGTGGCCCAGCAGAAGAACTCAGCTGGAGCCAAGTATTTTCCCAGCCGTATCTAATAATCTGGATTCCAGCTTGCCACCAGTTGACCACCAGCTGGTGATGAGCTTGTAAATGGAGCATATTTTGGTCCTGAATTTTGAATAAGTGCCAGACACTTCATCAAAATAGGACAGTAGTTGTGGTGCTGGCCGCAATGGCCAGGGTTTTCCACCCCGGACCCTGACCAGGGCTTCACCGCTGTGTAGAGCTGTGCCAAGTACTGACCTATTTCGATCAATTCAGCGGGCCTGTGACTCATGACCATTTGGCCAAAATGTTTAATTTGGCTGCAGGCCGAATTTCATGTGACCTCTTACCCGATTAGGAAATTTAGTGCACCGCAGGTATGGAAAATTTGAAAATCTTCCTGATTTTCCTGCTCTATATAGAAAACCCTTTTCTCCATTTACCCAATAAATTGTAAGTCATAATTCCCAATTAGGAAGCTTTCCTAAAGAGTATTTTGATCCGCCCTTGCCATATAATCCAGGAAATTGATGGCTAGTGGTGTTTGATCCTAAAATATATTATGGAAAAATATTTTGAACCCTGGACTTCAGCACAATCACTATGGTCATTTTTTTGGTTTCAGAGGTCTGTTGCTATTGGAAGTTCCGCAGGGTGTTACAAAGTTCAGCTTTGGTCATTCAAGTCACCGTAAGTGTCAGTCTGACAGTTCAGTTTTGATGTGTTCCAAAACTTCAGTTTCAGCACTCAGTTACACTGGTAGCAAAGGCAATAGCAGTTGGCTAAGGGGGGTCCAATAGGAGGTTGAAAGCAAATTTTTTTCCTTTGTTTGAAACAAAGAAATCTTTGTTTTCCTTTCCACTCTCATTGGGTCTCCCATTAGCAAACTGCTGTTGGGCTTGCACCTAGTGTTGGGTGTATATGGCTCAGTTCCAAGGTTCAGCATGGCAAAATCGTCTCAGTTTTAGCGAAGAAGAATGAATAATGAAAAAGGATCTTATAAATCACACCACAACACAGAACACACTCGAGCTGCACTGGATAGGATAGGATAGATAGGTGACCGCGCGCGGCCCGCCACAACCATCGTATTGGCAGTCGACTCACGCGGAAAGTCTTCCGGGTTGTTCTCTATCTGCGGGTCCGGAGGAGCTGTGAGCCGTGGATAGGTGGCACTGCCAGTGGCTCCGTTCGTCAGCGTGTAGTGGAATCACGCGTGTCTTCCGTCGGTGTACTATGGTGTCGCGCGCCAGTCTGCGAGGTAAGCTGTTTGAGCAGCGTGACTCTGTCTCGATGTCTCACCGTGACCTCATCCTTCCCTCCTCCACATCATGTCCCTGGAGCCAGACTCACAGCAAGTGGGCCAAGGCGCATGGCGGTATGACCACCACGGCCTCTCTCTCGACTCTGAGTACCCCAGCGGCGTACCCACACTAGACTCCGACTCTCCTGACGCATTCGACGAGGAGACCGTTTTCAGCGGAACATCGACGCGGAACACCTCCAGAACCTGCTTCTCGCCCGACGCGCTGGCAGCAGCGGAGGACATCTTTCACGGCGGCTACTTCACGTTCTGCCCGCCCAAACCCGGGCCACTCGCACTTACCACGTCCGTCCCCCTATCCAGCACCGCCCATCTGGTCTCGCCGTCTGTCCTCAGTGCATACGCCGCGCACCACGAAAGCGCCATCGTCGCCGCTGCACGCAAGAGCAAAGTGGCCGCCCTCGCGGTGTCCGTTGCCCCCCTGGACACCGACTCCGACTCGGAGTTGACGGCACAGTGGGTCGTCTGGGCACCCATGTGGTACAAGTCGGCCCAGTTCGCCTACAATCTTGCCATAGAGACAGGCGTCCGGGTTGCGCTGAGGCCAGCGGAGGCCGCGCCGAGCGAGCTGCTGCTGGAGCGGGAGGACAGGCCGGGCCGGGCGACTCCGAAGGCCGAAAGTGGCGAGAATGACCCTCGGAGCAGCCGCCCTCTCCCGTTGATTCCAATATCCCCACCCGCAACCACCGCCCCCATTCTTCCCGACATCCTCCCGCTTCCCCCGGGTGCACAGCCGCCCGCGCTGCCCGCCCCCATTCCCCCTCCTCCGAGTCTGCGGTCCTTTTTAACTCTTGCCCCGCTTCCCGACCCATCGCCAGGGCCACACGAAGACGACGCCGAGCCGCGACATTCCCCTGTCACGAAGACCACGCGGGTCTGCGTCGGCGACGGCGATGTCTCTGCATCCCTTGTCGTCCAGGTGTGTGTGTTCTGGAGGCATACTTACATCTGCTGATTGCTGTGACTATAGCGCGGGCAGCGCGACAATCTAACCCAGCTGGAAATCACGGTGCCGCTGATCGCGAAGATAAGTCTCGCGAGCGAGCGGCACGAGTTGGCTGGCGGGGTCGTGACGGTCGCGTCCAACGGGCTGCCGCACGGCGTGACGATGTTTGTTTCCTTTCCTTTTTTAGTTTGCTGTTATTGAGCTCCCCAGAAATTACGACAACGGTGTTTCCGAGTGGTATCCGGTTGCCGCCCCATTCCTGTGTCATCCGCGCCCGCGGCCGTCCACAGTGCCCCGACGGCTCGCTGCAACGATCGACGTCATTCCCCGTCCGGGCGTGGACAACGTTGTTGTGCACATCCAGGCGCGGGTCAACGTCATTGGGCGGGCGCGGCGGGACCCGCCGTATAGCGTGCCTCTTCGGTTTACCGCGCAGTGGTTGTTGCGCGAGCGGTGTAGGAGGGGTAGGATTGGGAGGTTTGATATGCTGGTGGTTCAGGTGGGGAAGTTTTCTTTCTGTCACCGTGCTGATGCGCTGGGATAGGCCACGGAGGACGTCTGGGGTGGAACTGGGGACTGGGCGGGAAACGTGACGAGGGTACAGCAGTCTGCGTGGCCAAGCCGATGTGACGGTGAGGCACAACCCATGCCCTCTCCGTCCCTCGCTTCGCTGCAAGCGCGCCTGCAGCCCGGCGGGCTGGGCTGGTACGCGCCGTGGGTGCTCTGGGTGCTGTTCCGGCGGCTCGCCCGGCGGAAGCCGCGCCGGCTGTGGGCCGGGCGGAGCTACGAGATGCGCGGGCGGAACGGGTGGATGACGGTCGATGTCGGGGCGGTGCTGTGCATCCCGGTGGACCCGGAGACGGGGTATCTGCTGTTCAATAGGCTGGATGTAGAGGCGCCGGTGCGGTTTCGCAAGTCTAGACTCAGAGACTGAGGCTGGGGGTGGAACTTGAATAGAATATGCTCCAGTGGTCCGGGGAATTGGCGAATAAGTAAGAATACTACAGCGCGTACCACTAATACACGGAGGAAATGAGCTAGGTAGCTAAATATCAAATCTAACCAACTAAATCAAATCCAAAATATGTATGTGTTTGTGTTCGGGGTTCGAGCCGCAGGAAACGACTAACTGATTCAGATGTGCTACTGGTGGAACTTAAAGGTTGAGTGTTGTAATTAAAGAGAACTTTCAAGGATGAACAAAGAACAACAAAAGGTTTGAAGTTTGTTGAGGATTTTAGCAGAAGAGTACCAATACTCAACTACCAGGTAAGTAAATTGACTGTTACTATAGCCAATCTACTTGGGGCTTACTATGGTTGTGCCTTACTATGCACAGGAGAGCTAACGTTTTGGCGTGGCCGAATGGCGTGCGCCAGCGCCAAGTGGCGTGGCGTGGCGTGGGAGTGGCGTTTGGCTGGCGATCAAAGCCAACGCCAGCCCATCAGGCGTCAACGCCATTCTGTCGGCTTGGCACGCCAGACATTTTGGCGTGGGCCGCCACAGATGCTGAGTGTCGCCGACCCTCACGAGCCTCAGTGCCGCCTTGAAAGCTTCCAGTAAGGGGCCTAGTAAGTCCCAGCAACGCCTAGCAACGACCAGCGTTCACGCCGGACTTTGATCCGAGTCTTCGAGTTGTGTATGCGGGTCCCGGGTGTAGCTACTTGCACAAGAGCCAACAGCGGTGTCGCGGGCCCGGCCGGGGTGCTCCTCGCCCAAGCTCCGCCAGTTAGGGCTCGGCGCCGTACCGTATACGGCTACGGCCGTACTTTTACGGCGCAATACGACGCCTCCCGGACCGTCGCCGTACCGTACTGCCACTTGGCGACCATCACTACGGCTCCGGCCATCACCGGTCAACAATGAGGATGTTGACAAGCCGGTGTTCTGGACCTCGTGAGGCGGCGTTCGGCTCACGATTCGCGGGCCCGTGGCCCATCAGAAGCGACCGCCGTAGGCGACCGTACCCCCGGCCGGATACGGCGCTACGGCTACGGTCAGTACGGCGGCTCACCGGAGCCGTACCGTACCGTACCAGCCACCATCAACCCCTGGTACGGTACGGCGCCGTAGCCGTACTACGGCGCCGTACTGCCGTACCACTACGGTACGGTGCCGAGCCCTACCGCCAGTTGGCAAGCTCTCAGGTCACCGCTGACAGCAAGCAGGCATGTCAAGACAGCGGCGCGGGCGAATAACGCAAGCAGAAGTTCGACGGAAATCGAACGCGGTCGCCGGGCTACTGCTTATACTTGCCACCTAGCCACCTTGCGGAGTCCGGTCGACAGGCTCCAATGCGCCGGCGGCCGGCCGGCCGGCGCCACTCAGAGGTGGAGGGCTGTCACGGGTTCGATGACTCGGATCTGCGCACTGGAGCGACAGAGCACCGCCAAATGAACTCCGGAGGAGCTCCGCGGGCCCCGACCGGGCGGTACTGGTGGGCCGCGCCGAGTCCAACTTGCCAAGTGGGCTGGCCGCTCTTGGGTAGCGCTACCTCAACGCCTGTCTATGACACAAGGTGTCCCACAATGGCTTCTGAGACGCCCCTCTGCCTTCTGAGTGCGTACGGGGAAGCATATAGTGCCCTCGCGGCCCTCGCCGGTGGATGCCGGAGGGGCCGAAGTGCACCGGTGGACGAGCCCGAAATCGTAGTAAGCCACTCTGTGGGAAGTGCTCACAGCCAGTGGAATGCATGGTGCAATTCAATCCATGTCGACCGACGATGGGGAGAATCCTCCGCCAGTGTCCAATGCCATCCCACGCCACGCCACAGCCATCAATGGCGTGCACGCCCGGCGTTTGGCGGGCGCACGCCATTCGGCCACGCCACTATGCGAGCTCTGCTATGCACAGGGTTTACTATGGTTGTGTCTTACTATACACAAATTCACTGGATGTGCCTTACTATGCACAAGTTCACTATATCTGTGTCTTACTATACACAGGATCACTCAGAGTTTACTAACAGTTGGAATCCTCAGCAAAACTACCGGTTGTGACAGTTGTGGTGTCACCCTCAGTAATCCTCTGGGGAAGATCAATTTGATACCACAGCAAAACTAACTAATGTGACAGTGGTGGTGTCACAACTAGTGGTCTCCTGGGGTGCTCACTATTATTCTATCTACTACAATTGAGCTCCTTATATACTGTTTAGAAAAATAACTAATGATGTGACAATTAAACCAATGATGTGACAAAGAAGCATTCTGACTCATTTGGAGTCAGTATGACTCAGTTGGAGTCATTGTGGCTGTGCATTCTAGAATATTCTACCAAATCAAACTTCTATATTAGGATGTTCTACACCCACAATTTAGAATTCATTCTCACAGATTACCCTTGTTCTGGCTCAGACCTAGGCCGGAGTTCTGTGGCTGTGCTACTAGAGCGGTCCAGAACTGATGTTCCTGGCCTTTCTAGATGTTTCTAGGTCTCTAGACATGCCTAGACGAATATAATAATAGAATTAGCCTTCTGGAAATTATGGAATGTTCTCAAGTATTTGGAGCATTAAAATAAATTATTTAGCCCCTTTTATCAGTTTTTAGATGTGCTCCATTTCTAAGCTCATCATCTCCCTTTTTCATAAATATTGACCGTCCTCGGTCAACTGATCATACTTGAATTGACTACATTTTTCATCAAAACCCAGCTACATTTTTCACTGGCATAGAATTGCCTACATTTTTCAGCAACACTATAGATGAACATTCCAAGGTATTTTCCATAGTCCTAATGTATGGCTGATTCCTATTCATCTCTGAATAATCCTGTAGTTGCTTCAACATATTAGGATTATCACCAAATATTTTGCCAGAATTTTTCCATAATTTATGGCTTGTCATTTGGATTTTCTGAATATTCTCCTGCTTTCTTCTGCCTTATCTCTGTTTATGTCACCTTCTTTCCACTTATCTCACATAATACAGGCTTATCTGAAGCTAATCTGCTTTTATTTTTGCACTTCTGAGCCAGTATTCAAGTAATCTCATCACATTAGACTTTTATTTTGATGAGATCATGCGTATCTAAAATTGATCAGCTTTGTCTTACATTCCTGCATATTGTAGGATTTAAACTCCAACAATCTGGAATAAGTTGCAGCTCGGATTGCATATGCCTTGAACCCTGATCGGCTCACTCTGATTCCGGTGCCGGTCAGCTCCACGCTTACGTGATACGGATCTCGGGGTGAGTCAGCTGCCAGCTGGCTGCTTCTTGCGCTTATCTTCAATTCCCTCTGGGGCTAGGAACCACAATTCTGGTGCTATGGACTTCTGGAACTCTTTCTCGTACCTATCGGCTGCCTTCGCGATGCTTCCGGCGGTCTCTCACGGTCAATTTTCTCACGCAAATCCGGCTTCTGCTAGTGTTGCTCCCGGACTTGTCCGTTGCTTTGCTGGTCTTGGAAGACGGTTCTAGCTGTGCCAGCCATCTAAAATTCGTAGTCCCAGACGAATAATACCTGGGGATGTACCCCAACTATCCATATCTCCTCAACTTCGACCCACAAGTCAAATATGGGCTTGTCCGAGGTTCTGGTGCGCCATTTGCTCAGTTCTGGCCCGATTCTCACGTTCTTGGGCTTGGGAGAATCGTCTCGAGTGCTTCTACCACATTCCGAGGTCGCCGAAGGTCCCACGCTGCCACACCGGTCTATCGACGCGCCTTCTTATTTTGACAATTCCAGGACTTTGTCCTGTGTCGTCAGTTTTGGTTCGTTCCCTTCCATATTTTGAAGGTCTATAGTCTATCGATGCCCCTTCCTTCCTGTATAGCTCCGATATTTTATACTGACTCATGTCAAGCATTCCACATGGTCATGGTGGGGCTGGTTTTTCCTGTGCCCTATCGTCTTAATCACTTCATGGATGGTGCCTGGGTCTTCCATAAGGTTCCCACAGCTCGCTTCCATCCGTCTAGCATATCTCTGTAGGGTTCTTCATGTAGTATTCCCATGTAATTCATTTACTATTGATTTTCCCTCTATTGTGGGTGTGGGAGTCATTTAATCCTTGAATAGCATGGGTGTGGGGTATCATTTACCAATTCTGGTTCAAATGACTCAGGGCTATACCCACACTTTGGTTTCCCTCCGCTACCGATTGCATTCCTCAAATTTCCTTTTTGGGAAATTTGTTGTTTGTCAGCTTCTCTTGTGTGGCCAGTCATATTCTTGGCCATTATATTGGTTCTCTCCTTCATTTTAAGTCTAGGAGTCCAGGCCTTCGAGGCTTCTTCACCCAGGGTTCCATTTTGATCCATGTGCAAATCTTGTTTCTGGAGTCATTTTTACCGCTACTCGGGCTTGGAAACAACACTCTGGGCCTCTACTACTGCTTTCAGGTGAGAAAATAATTATATGACTCATTCCAGAATCTCTCTGATGTCATACTGATTATTCCCCTCCCTTTTTCATAGCTCTTAACGGTCCCCCGTTATCCCGAGAACCCACGCTCCTGATTTGTAAGGTCCTAGCTACTTCAGTATAAATACTGGGGGTTTTTCCTCTATCCTCTGTCGATTTAATCGTCACTCCCAGTTCTCATACACTCCTACTGCTCAGAATGTCTTTCTCTACTCCCCGTGTTTCTCGCAACTTGAACAACGGGCTCAACAGTCGCCGGCGTGGTGTGCCACCAGTCGTCGAGCGTCAACTTCGCGTGTCGGCTGGTTACAACAACACGATGCCCTTCACTGATATGGCATATGCTACCGAGCATTTCCGTTATCAGGCCAATTTTCAGGTACTTCTTCTTCTAAAGTTCAAGTTTGATGATTTACTGACCATTTTTATAGTCCAAGATGATGCCTTATGCGCAGTTCATTGCCAACAACAAGGTTTTGCGCGCAAGCATTGACATGGTACAACAACGTCGTGAACTAGACGTCCCGCGCCATGTCAAGGACGACGATCTGGAACGCCTCCGC